CCAGTACTGGTACCGCAAGAACGCCAAGTTCGACGACGAGTTGCTTCGTGCCGAGTACGTCTTTCCGCATATCAAAATCAAGGTCGCATGGAGTATGCCTCCACCGACGCGTCCGGAGCGCCTGGACAAATGGATCCCGTATCCACGGGTCACTGAGGCTGTGTTCATCCAAGACGACGATGTCTACAATGCTCAGTGGACATATGATCACAAGTTCCATCCGATCATTGCGACTACTCTGAACGGCGAACACATTCCCACGCCGCCCATGATCTGTGACGACTGGTTCCATGTCCTCGAGAAGCCAACGGGGTGCACCTTCTTGCATGACAACCCCCTTGTCTCGTTTTCTTCCACCAGAACAAACATTATTGCGCGCCATCTGCGATTAAATGTCAAGCAATATCCAATTCCAACCTCGCGTGCTCGAACACATCTTTGGAGATCATGGAAGGCCTCCAAGGAGTTCGATGCAGTTACTACCCGGTGGCTAGACGAGATTCTGCTTCGATCTGATCGTATTCTCCGTCCGTACTGGAGGCGCCGTGACTGGGGTCGTCTCGACTCAGCAGCGAACTATCTTGACGCCCAGGTAGACACCATTCTGGCTCGTGTTGATATTGATCCCGAAATCAGTTCATGGACACAACTGGCCTTCAAAATCAGCGACCTGTACAGTTTTGGCCAAGGGGGTGACGCAAGGATCAACACACGTACACTGTCAACTCAGCTGCAAGATACCGACAGCGAACTGCATGTTTTGGCGATGGACACCGGCACCTGGCCCAATGAGCCAGGAGGTGTCTCTGCATGCCGAAGGGACATGGTCAACGATCTGAAGCATATCCGGTGGCACATCCTCGCTGAGGCGGCCAATGACTTTGGCGTCCCTAAATTCCAGATAGAACGGAATGTGCAGTCACTGACTGTTTTGCCGCAATGGGGTCTGGACTTCCTCAACCCAACACACGGTGTGTTCCAAAATTGTTTGGATTCTGCAGTGGTCGAGAAGTCATACGACACCACGGTGGCAGATATCCGACGCAATTTCCTCCCCATTCTGTCCAGCATAGTTCGGTGTTCACGGGCCGTTCAGCTCACCCGCTCGCATATCGAGGAAGCGACGCGTGCCCTGGTGGACTTGAACACGTATTTTGAGTCGTCCCGCAGTTGGAACGATGTCTGGATGAGTGATACTGTCAAACAGGCGTGGAGAGAAATGTGGCTCAGCGAAGACACGCCCGGCGCTGTTCCTGTTTCACAATGGTTGAATTCCGAAAGGCCCACGCTCCTGCAACTTGACTCGGCATTGGACATGTGGCATCGCTGTAAGTTGTTACTCATCCTTTTGCTAGTCATTATTCATGATCACTGACTTCGGTAGACCTTTTTATCTTCTCCATCCCCGTTCCCGACAAGATTCCCGATGTTTTCCAGGTTTCGCATCATTTCACAGGCGCTACATACGGTGTCCTGTGCAAGGTAAAGCGTCAATGCGCCTTGCATGTCTGGGACCATTGTGTCTCTTTCCGTGAAATGACCACATTCCTGTCATCGGCGGTGTCCTTCGATTCGACCTTTGTGAATACCACTCTGATTGGTTTAGGACATCTGTCGTGTGTTCTGATCCAGCATCACGCAGATGTTGTCCTTCCATGTGCCGAATATTTCAATCCGGGATGGGAAATCGAACTAGGAACCTGCGAAGGTGCCCTCCAGCATCGCCGGACCTTCCGTCGAAAGATTGACCCCGTTGTGAACGGGATCACTAACATGGACAAATACAAGCCAATTGAGACGATCAAGACGGCTACCCCGACGGTAGTCATGTTGTCACATATTCGGTATGTCCTTCGAGACTTGAATCGCAGAATTGAGTTAGCTGACATCTGGCAGATATGTCAAAGACATCAAGACAGCGATCATGGCAACTGACCTCATTGTCAATATTTGGGGCTTCAAGGATTATCGGCTGCACATCTACGGAGACATGGAGCGTGCGCCAGCCTACGCGTCGGAATGTCAAGAAATTATCGCCTCGAAGGGCCTGCGTGAGCATGTTGTCCTAAAAGGATTAGGAAATCCATCTGTGGTCCTCCAAGACGCTGTAAGTTGTAATCTGCCTTTTCCTTTCTGTGACCATGTGGCTGATCCAGTACAGTGGTTGTTCATGAACTCGTCCATTTCCGAAGGTCTTCCATTAGCCATGGGCGAGGCCGCCTTGACTGGCGTCCCTGTGGTTTGCACCGACGTCGGTGCCTCGTTCTGTGTGGTCACCGACCGTGCGACAGGGAAGAAGTTCAGCGAAGTGGTTGCGCCCAACGACGCTATATCCCTTGCCAGTGCTCAAATCAGGGTGCTGGCATTACTGGGCCAATGGAGCGCTTTTGCCGAGGACGAGGAGGGCTATGTACCCCCAACATTATCCCTGCGCCCTTCGCGTGAGGAGATAGAACAGATCACACGGCGTATGTACGAAAAGGCCGAGCAGCGTCGCAAGCTTGGCATGCTGGGTCGGTCGAACGTGTACAACAATTTCTCTTCCGATCGGTACCTCCGAGAACATGAACAGATGCTCTGGCTAGGCAAGTACCAGAGCCGCAGCTACGTTGCTCGCGGTCCGGGTTCGTCGAACAACTCCAGCGGGTTTTTCAAGGAGAAGTGGAAGTCGTCGATTCTGATTGAGCAAAATGAGGTGCTTCTGACCCCAAACTCAGACACGTGGTGGACTCCTTTCCGCCCGAGGTTGAAGCGAGGAAGTCGTTTTGGTGGCGCGATCGAAGGAACTTCGGGGACCCAGACACCTGTTTAACCTGATATAAATTTAATGTATAATCACCTGTTTGGAAGACTCTCACGAGATATGTATATATGCATATAGCGCATATCATTTTGCACCAACCGAGGCGATGAATATACCGTCTATTGATAGCCATATAGGCCTAATCGCCAACTATCAGAGCATTGAGCAAACCGACAACGAACAAGCCCACGAAGCCGACAAGCTTCGGCATGGGGAGGACTGTTGGCTCATTCATATAACGCTCCTATCTAAGGCTGGAATATATAGCGTGCTCCGAATAGCGCCCCTTGCCTCTCCATGCAAAAGAAAATGCTCCAAATGTACCGTTGGCCGAGTCAATGGCGGGGATCTGGCGGCATATCTCCTTCCTGTTCCAACCTAGTTCCTGCTTGGGATAAAACAGGAATAGGCAACATGTTGCGTAAATATAAAGTAAATCCATGTGTTCAGTCAATGACTGCATATAGAACAGCATCAGTTATGTTTCAGCGCAGCCATCAGCCTTATCCTTCGCCCCATAAATTTGAACTGCTAATACAGCTCGATCAGGACCATCACAGCTCAAGCTTGTGTGATTATTAATCAACAGGCAACAATCAGTTTATTCAAGTGACATAGGCAACAGCGTCTTACCCCACAGTACCTATAAGTCTTTGTTAACCAGAATATGCACTGTCATTCCTACTATGCTAGAATGGTCGTCTTGGCACCTTTTTTAGCTGGGTGGTTTGATGGTTGATAGTCTTCCACCCAATACCTCCATCCTCTCTCACAACTCTAGAATCAATAACAGACATCACAAGGTGCAAATCACTCACAATGAGCCTTATTCCCATCATCTGCACCCACGAGGTGTCGCCGACTGTAGGGAGCCCCTCTCAGACCCTGAGTGGAAGAAGCACATCTTAACTGACATAATAGGTTATCACGTCCATCCTTTCAACAGCATACGAGGCTTCAATCAAAATCGATTCACCTCCAAGCCTTATCCTTATCATGACAGCCAACCCGGCCGAACTCCAGAAGTACACATATGACTCTATCACTAAGCCGCCAGTTGAGTCCCTCCAGTACCCTTTCCTCGGCTGGGACATAGACAAGATCGCCCAGTTTCTACAGGAGAACGCAGCGAATACCGTAGTAGATTATACTACTTTCCTTGTTGCCGATGAGAAGACAGTCTCAGATGAGGATACCCTGCTCCTTGTTTACAGTATTGAAGATTCGCTGGAGAGTATACGTCTCTCAGCCAGCTATGCCAACAGTCAGGCGGTGTCAGTCTCAGTTGCGACCACGGATGTGGGCGAGTTGCGGAGCCTGGCAGATGAGGATGGGGTGTACAGAGGGGGTCCGCAACTCCCGCCGCCAAAAATGGGTGGGAAGGCGCCCAGGAAGCAGTTGTAAATATGAGAAGACAATAATGTCAGCAATGCACATTATGGCTATTATCCAGCAGAATTCCGTCAGTCTTATAGAGTTCTTACCTGGGTACCGTTGATGTCGAGGACCATAAACTCAAGGTAGAGATGCAGATGTTCGTCTCGGATTGTTCAAGAGCTTGGAGATCACTTGATGGATGGAGTAGAGGGAAAGAAAGATTCTATATATATATTAGAGAAGTCGGCCAGGGTAGGGCCAAATAATATTCTGCATCTTTGTTGAACGAGAGAGTCATGGCTAAACCTATGGTGGAAACCTCCAATCTCCGCAAATCGCAATGAGCAGTGACAAAGGTGGTTTTCCATCGGTCTAATTTAAGCATAGATTGTTGGAAAGGCCCTGTGTGTATATCCATTTATATCAAGTCTGTGCTGCCTTGTAGAACTTTTAACATACAATGCTGATGCGGAAGAAGATAGGTATGTCACTGCACCCGCCTCAAATTTACTTCCCTTTCCCAGTCCATTTCCGAAAACCGAAGGGGAATATTTATACCCCCAGCCAGCTAATTTAAATGTATCATGGTCTAGCAGCCGAAAGCGGGCGATTTGAAGGCGTACAACCGTGTTCCTGTTGTTGCCCTGTCTAATGACAGGCCCCTAATGAGGCCCTAGAAAAAAGCTCGCAGGCGTTACCCAGGTGTACTGGAATACCCTCGAGTTCTGTCGTGAGGTAAGGGGAGGACGTGTGATGACGAGTACCTATGACAGAAACTGTTAGTTTCTTTGACCGACATCAACCATGGCTATGAATTTATTTACCGCCTCTGAATCCACATAAAGGCCCAGTATACGAGCACAACTATTGCTGCTATAGCAGCAACGCAACCAATCCCAATGCCAGCAAGCATTGGTGTGTCTTTTGCCACAAATGTGGCAGCGAGTGGTGCGTCACTGACGCTTACTGAGTTGTTTGTAGATTTGGAGGGTACTTTGGGGTTGTTGCGAGTAATTGGAATTTTAAACCTTTTTATCTGGTCATTCAGACCACAATCCTGTCGTTTCTTGGGATACCCCAGGATCTCGCGATAACCCCAAAGTACCCTCCAACGCTCGATCTGGGGTCGGTCCGCCCCGGTCACCCTGGTCACCTTGTTAAGGGACCGCTACACACAAAAGATTAGTTACTTGCGGCCAGAGCAGTGCATAGCAAGGGCTGAACTATGACTTACTAACTGTCTCCGGCATTGGGGTCTTGTACCGGGAGACATCCATCCCCCTGTCCTGCCTGAGCTTAAGTTCTCCCGGATCTGTCTTCTCGCAGGCGGCGGATGGCCCGGCCACGATCTGTCTGATGAGGTCCTTTAACTCCGCCTGTTTGTCTTTTGGCAGGTGATTTCTGGCATCTCTTGCCCATGCCTTCAGGGCCTCTACTGGCCTATAGACCAGCGCGGCGTCGGGTCGTTCTCTGGGGTGGAGTCGGAAGCTCTATCAGAAGGGTTTCTGACAGACATGGTGAGATAGTATGAGATTCTCTTGATACTATGATTATCCTGTGCTTAATATTAGAGTCCATCGTCAACACCAGCAAGGACCAACTGACGAACCAGTATAAAATCCGACGGTTGGCGGAGAGCCTCTACTGGCTGTAGAGCTGCCACAAGCCCTACGAAAAGCCGGGCACTGTCAAATTGCTGCGACCGGGCGATTTGTTGCCGCTGTCGGAAGAGCTTGTCGAGGACATGATTTTGCCTAGTAAAAAGGAAAGCGGGTCAGTACACCGTTTCTGCGGTAAATGCAGGAAGGAATCGGTAAGCTCACCCTATGTATGTTACTGTAGATGATAAAACGTTCCGCAGCATCGGCGGTAGAACTTGCGTTGTTCTTTGCATCTCAACTTCTGATTGAGATATTCTTCTCTATCATTGAGATTAAAAGCATAGAAATGTGGAGTTTAGGAACTGGGATGAATGCAGTCATTTGCGAGGTCTTACATCTCAGAGATAGGAAAGTACGGAGAGTTGGTTCCGGGGGAAGGTCTACCCTTATGCCTGAGAGGTGGAGTGATTTATTATTCACTACTTGTCGCAACTGAGAATACGAAGCTAGTGAATAGAACATGCAGAAAGAAAATACCTTGGATGAATCATGATGTCAGTATCGCGTCTTTGACCTCAGTTGTCTCAGTTTCCCCCTAGTTTGACTCAACTAACCTATTTATTGACTATTCATCACTTTCAGACATACAGCAGTATTCACAGGCTATTCAGGAGCAATGTCCAGAATCATGCCTTCTAATAGCAAGATGAGATCGCTTCTCAGGCCACCGAAGAAGTCTCACCCGGAGGAAAAGAGTGTTGAGTACTGGGAGAAGAAACTTAAAAAAGGAAAGCTTCCGCAGGACTATACACCATTTCTCCTGTCATGCATAGACAAATTTGATAAAGCACGGTTGATTTACAGAATCAGCCTTCAGAAAGGCTTGCCGGACAACCTATTCGGTCACCAAGAAAAGGTAGAACGACTGGCAACACTCCTGGATCGCAAGGGGGCAAAAATATCCGCGCGTCTTCTTCGCTTCTTTCAGTTCCACACACAGCCGCCGGATCATTCTGTGCTGGCTTGGTGTCAGAGTCTCCTTGAGACGGAGAGACGTGTCCGGTGCATTGTTCAAGCACTGATCTTCTTGGAGAAAAGACTGGAATGGGGTCGCAAAGCTCTCACTCAAACCCCACACTCGGAATATCGCCAAAGGCTAGAATCTGAGTTCAATGACACTGAAAAGCATCACAAACGTCTTCAGGTCATGTATACACAGTGCCGGAGTGATAAGAGCGACCACACATGGCATATTCCTAGTGGTCTCTTCCGCAGAGCATTCTTCGCCTGGAGAACTTACCCCCAGTGGTATCTGTGTACCTCACTGTTATACGAATGTGCAGCCCGAGGAGGCTGCTGCTCTAGAACGTGTGGCTGCTGCTCGCGCAAGAGGGAGACTGACAGGGTTCCTAACCTCTCCCATTGCACTGAATTTTGCCCATGTTGTCTCGCTACGAATGGGACCTCACCTTCCGACCACATCCCGGATATCGACGTAAAGGTCGAAGAGGATACAGTCAAGTTTAATGTCATCTACGGGCAGGACCTGTACAGCCGTCGAGTATACCGCGCTCATATCTGGGGAGTAGATATCATCAACGATATCGAGGATTGACAGTGAAACATGAAGTGGTGGCTCTTGTAGCTTTGCTGAATTGATATGATCCGTACTTGCTGAGTGATTTAAGAGCCAAATGACGTTTTTGAGTACTTGCTCTGACCTTGACTATATCAAGTCATTGGATTTAGTAGGTTCTCGCCCGTTTTGCATCCAGTCCATGTTCTTCTCTAGCACCTTGTCCTTGTAGTTGTGGGTCCAGGCACCATCTGGTCATAACTTCTCATCTATTCCAACGCTCCATCCTCTACTATCGTCACCGCCACCGTCACGATTGGTTGTCAATCACCTGCTAGTGGAGGGGAATATGCTTGGCAGATTGACTGCAGCGTCACTTTGGAGCCTCTGCTGTCAATAAATTAAGAGTCACAGAGTACGAGATCTTTCTTGCATTAGTTTCCCCACCAGGTTGGAAAACCCCATCGGTATTCTCACAAACGTACCGACTCTGTATTCCCCCAAGCAGGAATATGGCCGTCCTCCCACCCGAAATCCTCCACGATATCCTCGGCCACACCACCCCCAGCTGGCGATGGGGCTGGCGCTGGAAAAAGTGGAGGAAGACGATGCTCGCTCGCGCAGATCTACTTTGGTTTCTGAACTTACGACTCGTCAATAGTACGTCCCTAGACCCTCTGAAACCACTCAGGATGCGGTTGCTAACCGTACAGAACAATTCGACGATATCGTGATCGACCATTTCCACACAGCAGTTAGAGCCGGGCTCATCGATCGCAAGCTTCCCATCTGCGATGGGGCGCCGAACCCCTCGACGATGGCAATGGCAAGACGATTACTATGTTCGCTTGTGGAGCGTAGTCGCCTTCAAGGGGAAGCAACGAGGAGTGTTTACCCGCTTGTGGATACGATCAATGCGGGGGTGGACGGCGTTGTTGAGTTTTTCTCGCACAGGAGCGATGTAGACATCGAGGAGCTCCGATCGAGGTATCTAAGCGGGATGATAGCCATGTTTGTCGGCCTGGCAGGGACTAATTTTATCGGTCGTGTTCTAGCTCCGGCAGGGGCTGGAGGAGAAACTATGGATGATGGCCTCGACGACGAGAGAGAGGAATGGAGCTGTACCGCATTGATGGCGGCTGCGTACTTGGGCAGAACAGACGATATGGAGCACCTGCTTGCGTGGCGTATAAAAAATACTGCTGATCCGGATAAGTCGCTCCATGGGCCTCTTATGACGGCTGCGTTCGGAGGACAAGGAGACAGCGTACGGTTTCTGATCGACAGGGATGTTGACATAAATACACGGACTACCAGGAATGGGGATACTGCGGTGCATTTTGCTGCGTTGGGAGGGCATGCATCTCTTGTGGAGTATCTTCTGGAGGCTGGAGCGGACGCCGTCGTGGTGAATAACGCTGGTGATACGCCGCTTCTTTGGGCTGCTAGGGGAGGGCACGCTGATGTTGTCAGAGAGCTCTTGAAGACTGGAGAGGTGGACGTGAATTTTCGGGACCGTTTGAGGAGAGCGCCGCTGATCTGGGCCGCGGCAAGAGGATTTGACAATGTGGTGAAGGAGCTGTTACTGAGAGAGGAAATTGACGTCAATATCATGGACGGGGTGGTGAATCTTTTGGCTGGACCTATATACCATGCAGGATCGGCAGGCGTTCCTGGGGGAAGTCCATTAGAAGTGGCTGCGATGATAGGCAGGGAAGACGTCTTCCAGAGACTTTATCGTCATCCGCAGGCTTACAGGGAGTTGTCCACTGTCTTTCCACGCGCGCTGACGGGCGGCAAGGCCAGCATCGTGAGGACAATAATCCAGGCATTTCCCAACACTCTGGAAGACTACGAGTCCAGCTACGAGGAGACGGCTTTCCTCCGTGCCGCCGAGGATTCAAGTGAAGAAGTGGTTCGATATCTGCTCTCTCTCAACAAGACCCCCATCAATTATCAGGATCGTGACGGCAAGACTGCTCTATACTTTGCCGTCAAGTCAGGAGATCTCGGGAAAGTTACAGCTCTTCTGGAGCATCCCGACGTAGACGTCAATCTAAGAACGGACGAATTGAGCGGCTGCCAATCACTGCTCCACTGCGCAGGTAACCAACGGTGCGTGGATCCGGAGGTCATGAAGGCTTTACTAGCTCGCCCAGATATCAATGTCAACGCTCGAGATTATGGTGGCATGACTCCCCTCGCTTACGCGGCTTTCAATGGGGAAGCTGAATTGGTGAAGCTCCTCCTGCAGCGCCATGATGTGGATTTATTCCCGCTGGATAGATTTGGAGACACCCCGTTGCTTCTCGCCGCCAAAGAAGGGGAAAGTCACGTTGTGAATATACTATTGAAGGTACCAGGTACGGACATTTGGCACAGGAATAACTGGGACAAGACAGCGCTGGGGTTGGCGGGGGAGTCGGGTCACGCAGAGGTTGTGAGACGATTGCTCGATCGGGACCTCAAGGTAACACCGGAAATCATATGCGATGCCATAGAAAACACGAAAGAGGCTTTGGATGCTATTCGGAGGACACCGACGAGTTTTCTTGGTTCCGAAAATGAGAGGCTTGCGCAGGAAAGAAGGATAGAGGAGGCGTACAAGTTGCTTTCGGCTGGTCTAGATAGGATAGGTTCATGATGCTTTATACAGATGATATCCACGCAAAATGCACAGAAAATGAGCGTTCAGCTGTTGTGCTCTCAGTTAACTCCCAGCTCTCACGAATCGTAGATCTTTGCTCTAGCGAGGTGTCTAGCCGTCCATAGAGCACACACTTCCATTCTTTTCCTCAATCCATTGAGAATGAGTCTCTCCACTTTCAGGCTACATTGAATTGCAGTCAGCCCTGGCTTAACCGGCTCATCCGTTTGTCTCGGGTACCCGTTCGCCCCGAGGTATCCCTGGCGATGGCATGGCATAGAGGAGAGGGGCCAAATCTACCCCGCATCAGTCTCAACATTTCTGTCATCGACTGAATCACCTCACTTCAACCATCGTCCATCTCCGATTGCAACCCAACACACAATGCCATACAGTCTCAAAGGGAAGAATGTGCTTGTCGCGGCAGGCTCAAGGTAACATCTCATATGCCTTCTTTTCCCAGATACTAACGTCGATTCAGGGGCTTGGGCGCCGTCATATGCCAGAAATTCGCGGCTGAGGGGTGCAATGTAGCCATTAACTATCACTCAAGCCGTGAGGTCGCGGAAGATCTTGCCAGTAGATTGGCGAAAGAGTACTCTATCAAGTCCATTGTTCTCCAAGGGGTCAGTCTGTTTTCGAAAGCACTTTAGATGAGAATTGACATTGTATATTATACAGGACTCTGAACTCCCAGAGGACAATCAACGTATTGTTCAGGAGGCGAATGAGCAACTATCGGGCTTGGATATTGTCATTGCCAATGCTGGGTGGACTCGGTTCGCTGACAGGCGGGACATTTATGACCTATCCTTTGAGGAATGGGACAAGGCAAGACGTGCACGGCCTGGGTGCCCTTATTCGAGACACTAACGTACTCAGTGTTGGAAAGTGAACGTTATGTCGCATGTACAACTCATGCAAGCGGCTAAGCCGATATTCGACAAGAATCCTGACGGGGGTGTCTATATAATGACGTCGTCTATCGCAGTACGTTGTCTTTCTCGGTGGCCCTATAAGCCAAGTCTCATATGAGTAATCAGGGAATCACTCCGGACGGAAGCAGCATGGGCTACTCTGTGACCAAAGCCGCTGCTTTGCACCTGATGAAGCACCTTGCGTTATCCGTGGGACCAAAGATCCGGGTCAATGCTGTTCTACCGGGGCTGTTGTTGACGGATTGGGTGAGGCCCCCGGTTGCCGCTCAGATATTCTTTGGTACTAAGAGATTCCTAGGGTAAAAAGTACGGCGACACGGCGATTGAGTGGATCAATCAAAAGGCCATCCTAAAGCATGAGGTGATGCTTTTGTCCGGCATATCTTCGTCTGTTTGCTGACTTTCTACTAGACCGACCTGGAGGATTGCGCGAATATGTTTGTGACTTTGGCAAAAAATACATCCATGACTGGACAGCAGATTGTTGTTGGTAGGTTGTCTCTCCCGCTAATCGCGAGCTGGTCAAGTGTGCTCATCGATGCAGATTCGGGACTCTCCATGGGAACTCCTCCTAGCAAATAGCGGCACCAAGTATATATTCGCCATCACTGGCGGCGAGATTGCCACAATAGAGTGAGGAGGTGAACGTAATCATTCAGCAGGGCTGTCATTTACCCAGATAGTATACGTGTGTTAGAAGTGTGCCGGCCAAGCATGATCAGATATGTTGCCCCGACGAGATTATATATATATGTATTGACGTATTCGGGTAGACCGCTAAACCATCTGACATCTTTCATTCTTTATGAAGTACTCCGTACGGCGATTCTGAATCCAACGAAGGCAATGACTGGAAGGCAAACAAAAAGAAAGACGAATTCAATGGTAAATGGACAATTGTTGACTCGCGGAAAGAAGATACAAAACAAAAAAGAATGCATCATCCGTGAATCGAACACGGGCCTCGTCGATGGCAACGACGAATTCTACCACTAGACCAATGATGCTATTTCTTGGCATATACAGCATATTAATGCTACATAGGAAGATTATCATGCAAACTTTTTAAATGAAATGGTCTGACAACTGATCCTAGGATTTCATATGAACACCACTTGTTCGGTTATTAGGTTCGCAACGCTGACCTTGTTGGGCCCAATTGGAGAAAACGAACCTCGTATTCCTCGCAATATTGAACCGACAGAAACCGCAACGACACAGTCATCCTGGTCCATGATCTGATCGCGCAAGCAAGCACCTTCCTAAACGGTTTAGCAGAAGGATTCCACGAGTCGTCCCAAAGTGGAGCATTGACAACCCTCGGCTGGTCAGTTTGATCAGTTTCCGACCGTGCAAGATGCTTAGAATTCTGCTAGCAGATGTAACCTTTTCCTGTCCCACATCCCATAACAACCAATCCTCGGTTCGCTCGGCTGTTCCTGGGGAGGAACCCTGGAAAGGCTTGGAATGATTGGCGGGGGTGGAGCAAAAATGCTTGTGCTGGCTTGACCGAGATAAGCACTCCAGCCCCTCGAATAGGCAACCGAAAAACTGTCTTTGATCTGTGGAGTAATTCAAAGACAAGTATCGCGTCACTCCTGCGGGCTTCCGGTGGAATTAATTAAATAGATTGAACTAATTTCTTTACGGTGTCTGCAGGGAAAATCCCGCAAAGAGATGCTGCACTTTGCATGGTGCGATGCGGGTGTCCTCGCTGTCCCCCCGACCCCTAGCATCATGCCGGCTGCCGTCACATGGAATGATAATCTCGCCTTTTCGAGCCAGCTGACATGCAGATATAAATGTCGATCGGCTGCCGACCCAGATTAATGTCCTTTGTCTTTTATCTCTCTATCCGACCCTCTGCATTCGGCTCCGCAGTCCTCCCGCAATGCGCTCCTCGACTCTCTACGCAGGCTTGCTCTGCTCCCTCGCAGTCCCAGCCCTTGGCGTGGTGCACGAGAAGCTCTCAGCTGTTCCTAGTGGCTGGACACTCGTCGAGGATGCATCGGAGAGCGACACGATCACTCTCTCAATTGCCCTTGTTCGGCAGAACCTCGACCAGCTCGAGTCCAAGTTGACCACGCTGGCAACCCCAGGGAACGCGGAGTACGGCAAGTGGCTGGACCAGTCCGACATTGAGTCCCTATTTCCTACGGCAAGCGATGATGCTGTTATCCAATGGCTCAAGGATGCCGGGATCACCCAAGTGTCTCGCCAGGGCAGCTTGGTGAACTTTGCCACCACTGTGGGAACGGCGAACAAGCTCTTTGACACCAAGTTCTCCTACTACCGCAATGGTGTGTCGCAGAAACTGCGTACCACGCAGTACTCCATTCCCGACAGCCTGACGGAGTCGATCGATCTGATTGCCCCTACTGTCTTCTTTGGCAAGGAGCAAGACAGCACGCTGCCACCTCACGCAGTGAAGCTTCCAGCCCTTCCTAGGCGGGCAGCCACCAACAGCTCTTGCGCCAACCTGATCACTCCCGACTGTCTGGTGGAGATGTACAACCTCGGCGATTACAGGCCTGATGCATCTTCGGGAAGTCGAGTCGGCTTTGGTAGCTTCTTGAATCAGTCAGCCAACTATGCAGATTTGGCTGCTTATGAGCAACTGTTCAACATCCCATCCCAGAATTTCTCGGTCGAATTGATTAACGGTGGTGTCAATGATCAGAATTGGGCCACTGCTTCCCTCGGCGAGGCCAATCTGGACGTGGAGTTGATCGTAGCCGTCAGCCACCCGCTGCCGGTCGTGGAGTTTATCACTGGCGGTTCACCGTAAGCCAGACCCCCCGGGTGAAGGAAACCAGCTAAAATGAATTAGTCCGTTTGTTCCCAATGTGGACGAACCCACCGCCGCGGACAACCAGAATGAGCCCTATCTGCAGTACTACGAGTACTTGCTTTCCAAACCCAACTCGCATCTTCCTCAGGTGATTTCCAACTCGTATGGTGATGATGAACAGGTGAGAGCTCCCGCAATTCTGCTATATAGGTAGACACTAACCTACTAGACTGTCCCCGAGTACTACGCCAGAAGAGTGTGCAACTTAATCGGCTTGATGGGTCTTCGTGGTATCACTGTTCTCGAGTCCTCTGGAGACACCGGTAGGCACAGATCATCCGGTAGTCTTTTCCAAGCTAACAAGATCAGGAATCGGCTCGGCGTGCATGTCCAATGACGGCACCAACACTCCGCAATTCACTCCTACATTCCCAGGCACCTGCCCCTTTATCACCGCAGTCGGTGGTACCCAGTCCTATGCGCCCGAAGTTGCCTGGGACGCCAGTTCGGGCGGATTCAGCAACTACTTCAGCCGTCCCTGGTACCAGTATTCCGCGGTGGAGGATTACCTCAACGACCACATTACCAAGGATACCAAGAAGTACTATTCGCAGTACACCAACTTCAAGGGCCGTGGATTCCCTGACGTTTCAGCCCATAGCTTGACTCCAGAGTACGTGGCCCTGCTTTCATTGACGTCCGCATCCTAACAGCATGTAGCTACGAGGTCGTCTTAACGGGCAAACATTACAAGTCCGGCGGCACATCCGCCGCCTGCCCCGTCTTTGCCGGTATCGTCGGTCTGCTGAACGACGCCCGTCTGCGCGCTGGCAAGTCCACTCTTGGCTTCCTCAACCCATTACTCTACAGCGTACTGGCGGAAGGATTCACCGACATCACGGCCGGAAGCTCAATTGGTTGTAATGGTATCAACCCACAGACCAACAAACCAGTCCCTGGTGGTGGTATCATCCCCGGCGCGCACTGGAACGCTACTGCGGGCTGGGATCCAGTCACTGGTCTTGGTGTTCCTGATTTCATGAAGTTGAAGGAGTTGGTCTTGTCGTTGTAATTTTATGAGGAGTAGACGCAATTATAACATTTTCTTCTCATTGAGTTTTGTTCATTCAGTGCTATTGTATATGATATTCACGGTATGTCAGGCCAACTATGTCTGGCATTGTGGATAAAGCCCAGGTGCTACCTATAGCATGCAATAGTAGTGGTCTGGAGAGATGAAGGTTGGTTGAATGCCTACAGCAAGGCTGTAATGGTAAGGCTGTTTTTGTCATCGCAAGGCTGACGACACGTTGGATAGCGAAACAGTCAGACACTGTAATCCTGGGCGGCTCGACTACTGGCTGAAAGGCTGGTAACAACAGAGCCTTGCATTAGCTGCTTGGCCGCTGGCTGTGCCTTGCCCCGGATCCTGCTTTAAGCCGCCGACCTCGTCAACGTCAGAAACTCGTCTCTGCTCTCGGTGCACCGACTTTGACATTTACAGCCAGAAAACTATTGAGTTACGCCTGTTGATGGTCAGAATATGGACAACACTGAAGTTGACCAGCCATCGCCACCCCAGTCTGTACACGATTCCGACGAGGAATCGCTCGCGGATCCGCAGCACGCATCAACAGAGTGGAGGCAATCGTGGGACATGGAAGATTTTAGTTCACATAGGTCTGCATTTGCAAGGAAGTCTTTGAGAGAAGCAGCCTTTCAATCTAGTCCGTACCCCATTAGTCGTAATGCGATCAAAGCTATCCTGAAGAACGAGCACGTGGAGGCGGACGAAAAGAACCCGGATGGCCGAACTGATCTTTCGCTGGCCATTGAGAATGGCCAGTACAACCTCGTCGAATTGCTGCTGGAAAATGGAGCCAACCCTAATGCTCGGGAAGATCGAAACCGTACCCCATTCTTTTGGGCCACTACGCGAAGCATATGCGGCACTACGCAAGACATATATGCCCCCGGTCATTATAATGACACGATTGAATTACTCCTGCAGTTCGGGGCAGATCCAAATTTAACAGACGACGAAGGGAACACCCCGCTGGCTTTGGCTGCTGCTATTGGAAATGAAGAATTCGTGAAGCTGGTCGTTGAGTCTGGTCGTGCCAAAATCAACGCGCAGGGCGATGAGGAAAAAACTCCACTGATGTGTGCAGCAACTGGAGGATGGCCAAATTGTATGAGCTACCTTTTACCACACCCCACCGATATGGGCAGTTGTCCTTGGTGGGAACGATTACCTTCAGACCAGGTCGTCACGAACAGAGAAGGAGCCGCACCCGTTTCAATTCTCGAAGTCTGGCTTCAAAGATTATACTGGGCTGCCAAATCTAATATTTAAGCTGGAAAGACATTTTCTTTGGAATAAGGTACTCCCGGAAGGGCGCACGTTTCTCTCGTGGGCTGTTGAATTGGAAGACGAAGAAATTGTTAGACAACTTCTGGATTCGGGAGCGGACCCCAACATTCGTGACAAGATGGAACATCAGATGACCCCCTTGATAAAGGCATTGAAGCTTGGCAACATGGACATGGTGGAACTGCTCAAGGAGAAAGACAAATCTTCGATGCATATTTTGGTGGACGAAGCTGATGATATAGGTGAAGAGCAAGCCTTGGACCTCGCACGCAAGCTTCTAGGACAAGGGTACGATCTCAACAAGCGGGATTTGAAAGGTCAGAATCCCGTCCACATTGCATGTCATAAGGGGAGAACACGCCTTCTTGAGGAATTTCTACATCCGAAATATGGAGAACAAAACGCCTTCGTTCATGGGCAGGACAATAGCGGGAAAACGCCCTTGCAGTATGCAATCGATAACGAGGACATTGTCAAGCTTCTGATCGAACACGGCGCAGACCTCAGTGATGTGCAAGCTGCAAGCCTGTTCAAGATCAGAGAACCAAAGCCGCTCTGCGTCCAACTGACTCGCAATCCTCGGGCCAATTACCGAACTCTTCTTCTGATCAGTGACTATGATGAAGCACGAGAGCTGTGGAACCCGCAGCCTGGACAGATCAAATTACGGTGATATACAGTCTAGCCTTCCACGAACAGTTTTCCCTAGTACTGACTCTGCCAGTCTCTTCAATAGAGGTTCGAAAATACCAGACTTTCACAGCTTTAAGGTCATGGAAGATCCTTTTTTACGTCGTGAATACTGTCAATTCTTCCAGTCAAAACGGTCAAGTCAATCCGGTGAGACTCGGCTGTTCAAGCTATGTATATCTTTGCCTGGTTTGACACGCCGTTCTGAGGGTCTTCCACTGGAGACACGCCTTTTCGAGCGATTTCCATTGGAGATAGCTTGGGCCATCAGGGAAATGGAACATAGTCTTGCTTACGGATACATCAGCACGCTTTCGAACTCTTCAATACCTGACCAGCATGAAGAACTTCTCAGAGGTTTGATGACCGAAGTTGCCGGGGAATGGAGGAAGAGAGTGTCGGTCCTGGTGGATGAAATCAATAATCTTGTATGAGTGCGCCGATCCCCAAAGTCGCGGACTGATCTGATTCTCTCTCAATTGGCAAAAAAGAGATTAGACCAAGTCGAATTAGAAGGCAGAAGCCGGACTGTCCTCAAGTGCTTACAGAGAAAGGCAGAACAACACACGAGGCTGCAAAGCTGGTTCAAAGACCACGTTACTGGACTCACACATGTGGTGAATATCGATCCATATTTGCGGAAAGAAAAGGGCTCGCTTACGGAAATAATCCGGGAGATGGACAAGGAAGTCAGTTCGAGACTTGCTCGCATCGAGCAAAACATTCGTGAGTTACTACAGATTGTGAGTGCACACGACATCTCCTCTCAATCCAACTGACCTGTGGTTGATGGAAATTGCATGGATCTCCATTAGCGAGGCCAAAAGCATCAAACGGCTTACTTGGATTACTGTAAGTCAATTGAAAATTACTGGTTCGCAGACTAACTTGCCAGTTCATATTTCTCCCCCTTATGTTCGCGTCGGTAAGTGCATCCACAAGTAAGGGATTCATGTACGTCCTTGGTTACTGACACATCTGCCAAGAGCCTTTTTGGGATGAATATAAACCTTCTGAAAGACAATCCCGACTGGAGATGCTTCCTTCCAATTGCAGTGACGTTGATACTTATGGCCTTCGGTTTATGGCTGCTCTTTGACTGGGTAGGTACTCGCATGCATGCTCAGATGATATGAATGGTGTCTAATCAAGTGGCCCAGGCTGAGCCACAATTTGAGTCCCGGATTAAGCGATTGACAAGTCCCAGGGAGAATCCCAAATATTCAACTCCTCATGATGATCCGACGTCTCTTGAATCCAGTGTTGTTTGATACGATTAAGGTATACATGCTCCACTATTCTAGTCTGTTCAGAAGGCACGGATAACTCGCCTGTTCGTACATATGTTTATACCTGATCAATATCCTGACCTCAATCCCTTTCCGTTGCTTTCGGAGCAACTACATGATAGTCACATTTCGAGAGAACAAATAAGCAATAAATCATAAGTCGTTCTTAAAAGACAAACTCTGCCTGTCCCTTTCCAGTCTCTGTAACTAACTCTTGAAAAGAAACAGTGTCTTATGCTCATGGAAGTTGTGTTCCATAATTCTAGCATGCTCTGCCTCAGGGGCGTCTCGCAGCAAGTTTCGTCCAACAGACGATATGAAACTTCAGGGAGCTAGAAATGTGGATTGTAGAGTATTCACAGTAGTGGAAGTATATACGTCAAGTAAAAGTGAATGCTTTACTTCAGTGTCTCAGAAAAACTTGAATCTGAAACTTACGGCTGAAGCCAGTGAATGCTACGAGTCGGAGCATCCTGGTACTTGCTCCTTCGTTCCCCCATCTGCGGAAACATTCTCAGGAACAACTCAGGGGCCACAACAAGTCAATCATCTCATTGCTTCATAGAGATACATCTTCATCGGATACACTTTTTAGCCCAGTACCCTCTTTCATGGCAGTATCCAGCACTCTGCGAGATCACCGTTGAGAATCCAGAATACGACAGGAGAGTCACTCTGCTCTTCCTTGACGGTTCTACTTGTCTTTGGCAGGATTGCCGGACAAATGGGGGAAGAAGTCGGCAACCCACTCTGATCCTCTGCCAGGGTTCTAGTTGAGGATTGTCGACCACAAATATCGGTAAGTTCCGACCTGACGATCTTGACTGTATATGGAGAATAAGGACAGGAACTAAGTTAGGTCTAATGCAGTGGTAGCTCGGACTTCCCCATACACAGGGGCTGCGCTTGCGTTCGGCGTTCCTCCATCACCGCCGACACCACATTTTTCGCTGCCGGCCAGGGCCCCAAACGAGGTAGTAAACGTGGAAAACATTACCCAATTGGCTGGGGACGCATCGAGTACGTTCTCATTCAAATCACTACCTAGAGGCGTAGCTTACATGTCGGTTATATAGCAACACACCGAGGCGTGGGGAATGGCCACCGACGGCCACCACTTTTCTTCCTCCGCGTGGAGGACAGTGGCTCTCTCACCTGACAACCAAGGACCTGATAATGAGTGCCCAAGCGCTGCAGACTTCCCCATCTGCTGTCCCTGCGTGCAGACCGGTCCTACTGCCAAATACATGGCCCTCCGCGATGGCTTGAATCTGGTTGTCATCCCTAAGCGCCTCCTTCCAGTGTGGGTGAAGGAGTGGAAAGACAGTCGAGCCACACCAATTACTGAATATAACCCTGCTTCTCAGACATGGTACTCTGATTAAGGGCATCCAGACGGTCAGGACATTTCTACACTGTAACTTACCCATGATCGCTGAGGCTAGAGAGTGGCTTCGTGCATGTGCGTGCATGGAGAGCACTGACCAGAGTCTATATACAGAGGAAATGCAAGCAGTTGCAGCAGCCGCTAAGAACAACAAGGGTACCATTCCCAATGATACAGGCCAGTTTGTGACCCTTTTAACCCCAAGAAGTGTTTCAGGGCATATAAAGGATGCCTTGTCCCTGTTCAGCAAGGCTCCTGTCCCTGCAACTAGCACTGGTTCACTCAGCTTAGGGAAAGAGGTCAGTGTGGAAGGCGCGCGATTTCCGCGGACATTTCAGGATGAGTGCCATAATGAGAAGTGTGAAGGAAAGACCTTCCATGTTTTTTGATCATTTGAGCAAGCAAGCTATGCCAGCTATGTCGATGTTAAGTGACACGCCTTTTAAAGACATTGCCCAGCGACATAGCCTTCTATATCACTTAAACTAGAGAAATCCCAGCAGGTGCAGCATGAGGCGCTGGATTTCTGTACCTTGAAGAATATTCAACGACTTGGGCGGCAATTCTCTAAGCAGGCAAACAAGGCCGATGCTAAGCTAGGGCCCCTCATCTAGGGATTCAAGCTCATAGTCTCGATTTTTGGATTCATCTACCGACCGTCAATTCGAAATGATTTAGCCACATGATCATTGAACTACCTCCAAACAATAGGATGGATGTGCCATGTCCCATCCTGGAGACTTATCTTGCTACCATCAGACCTATGGATTCCGCGCTATCCACCGAACTAGACAGGATCGGAGCTGCTCGGGCGGAGGGCCAGGAGAACCAGTTTCGACTCTCTGCACCAGGCATCGTACGCGCATTGTATGCTGCAAACTGTCCCGGTTGCTCTACGGATGTTGTACAGACATTCCTCAGCAAAGAGCTGAATTGGGAGCGAGCCCATTTGGTCGATCAGGCGCGGGCCCTGTCGACCCATGGGCATACGCGTGGTCACCAAGGCCTCGGAGACTGGCCCTCTTGCCGCAGACCAAGAAATTCCTTGGCTTGTCCAAGAACTCGATTCCGTCGATTAGGGACTTTTTTGAAATGGGGAAGGAAAGGGCGAATAGTGACACCTCGGGTGAGGCATAACATACCTACTCATATGCCCCGGCATTTGCCTGCAGTTGGAAAAGTATGTATCCTGCGCCTCCGACGGAGTGTTAAACTATTAATACATCTTAGGTTTGGATTGGTTCACCAGCCTTTTAGAAGAGCTCCTCTAAAAAGCCGAACTATACGGTTGATCGCAATGACTCTCTATCCATCGTGATCAAGCCTTCTATCTCGGTTCTACGATGGAAAGCGAATATTATGAGTTTAGTCTGCATTTCCTAAAGCGACAATGGGAGTGCCGAAGAAGTCAGATATGCAGACAACGTGCCCTTTTCTGCGAATGGACAGTTGAAAGTCATGCATGTTGGGACAAGACCGATCTCTCTGAACCGGACGACGATGTCCTTGAGAAGCCCAAGTTGCCCGATACATGGACGAAAACATGACTACATGCAACCCACCCCTGCGAAGACCTTTTTTTATACGGGAAGCCAGCCATTGCATTGCATTGAGTCCTCATGATGAATCGACCTCCAGGCCAATCGTGCTCTCCTCTTACAGCACATGGGCGAACTAGGACAATGGCGGATTCCTACACCCACGCCGAATGATTACATCCAAACCGCTCTTCCAAGACAGCAAGGAGCCAGATGTGGATTTTGTCATTGTTGTGAGCGGAGGTGTCTCTCCACAGAAACGGAAGCAGTTAAAGCACAGGGCAGTCAGATTGTTGTTTTCCAAACCTGCTTCAGGACTACAACTAGACATGTACAATGACCAGAAACCGCAGATAATCCCGCGGGGGCGTGTGGCCAGTCTGACGATGCCACAGCATATACTACCATAACTGTGATATGGGATCCCTACAGTAGGAGTACATCGTCCGGACACCTTTTTAGCTAGGGTTATTGCATTTAACAGATGCGTTCTATCTTCACAAAATGACCTATCGAATACTATATATCTGGATTCAAAATGGCGTAAACATATGATAGTTCCGACGTGCAAACAAGACAGTGGCATCGATCCTGTCAGCCCACACGCAACTCTAACAGAATCTTTTCCAATGTCATAATGTGATACCAATGCATAAGTGGCCAATGCATACTGCAGGTCTCGCTAAAATAAGCATCATAAGCTCCACCTGTGAGATCTAAGTGTGTTTGCCCCAATTTCAATGGAGAAGGATGGGAGGCCTAAGGATTAAGTAAGAAGTAGTAAGAAAATCGGCATGCGTTGTACCAATGATTGTAGTCAACTCGAGACATGTCTTAAGTAGTGTCTAAAATATCTACCGCTGATTGGCGATTCAGTCCCCGCTGGCTCCAGAGCTGCAGAAGCGATGAAGAATCGAGTCATGTTCATCGTGAACCCCAATCCTCTGTCGACAATCAGGTCATTGTCGATTTAGATCGTTCTTTGATGTCACCAGGTTACATCCTGCCGCTTCCACAGTCTGTGCAGGAATCTATATAAGTCATAACCCCCCCGCTCTCCCTTTTTCCTAATCATCAGCAGTCAAGACAATCATACCATCAAAATGACCATACTCAACCTCCTCACCGGCCTTCTGGCCTTTACCTCCACCGCTCTCACCCAGTCCATCACACCCCCCGATGGCTGCCCCATCCCCACCTGGACCGTAAACAACTTCCAGTGGTACAACGGCTCCCACAGCCTCGACTGCGTGCACAACCAAGCCGACATCGACGCCTACGGCTGCCTCTGCCCCGGCAGCGGCGGCTGGTGCGAGCCCAACCAGGCCACCTGCAACGGTTCCTGGGTGCACCTGTGCTGGACCGGGATGCCCAACTACCATCCCTGGGGCTACGGCCCGCTCGAGACGCTGGACATCGACTTTACCGACGGCCTGCAGTGCCACGACCAGTACATCGGGTACCGGGTGCATGATATCGGGAACGGGGATAGTAACTGCGGGTATGCGGACCGCGGGCTCGGGCGCATCGTCTCGTTCTACGGGAGCTCGAATTATGAGACTTCTGTCGGACGAATGGACTATGTCCTTGGGGCGGGGCATGCGCTGACCTGCAACAATGGGAGTAAGATTACGTACTCTGGGAGCACGGAGTTTGAGCTGCAGTGTGTGCATGATGCGTTCTTCAATGCGACGTGCACGGCGGAGGAGTTTACGATTCCGGTATTGGCTTATCAGTGGGTTTCTTGATGACCGGTAGCTGTATGCTTCTGCGATTTATGTTGATGGATTTATGTACTTCTATGAATCAGACAACAGACAGCAGGCAACAGACAACAGACAACTATCTATGAAGAGTCACATTCCAAGCTGGCAATTCCACCCTGCTCGCCTTTCCCTGCACATCCACTTCAAACACAAATTCTGCCAGTGATTTAGTCGCGTATCCCCCGCTGCCGACGACAATCCAGTCATTCACGTCAAAGTTCCTCTGGAATAGTCCTCCGGACTTCTCCTGTGTAGCTGTATACGCCCTAAAGGCCACCTGCCCGGTACCCTCCGACACAATCGTCGGCACAAGCCTCGAATTCTCATTCCCGAGTAATATACTCAGGAGGGGCATGAGATCCGTCCCGTTGCTGACCCACGAGGTAACCGACAAGCCTGAATTTCCAGAAGGACTGACATCCAGCGCCAGCGAGGAATTCAATCGATCGCTCGTGTACTTCCCCGCAAAATTCTTCTTCGCTTCGGACGCAGCCTGCTCCATCAACGCAGGGAGGATACTCTCCGTGACAAGATCCGCCAGAAGACTCGTTGCGTTCGATCGCGTCGCCAACGCGCTGGCCCCGATGATACTAAACCCAGCGTCGAAATCAGGAATCAAGACCAGAAAACTGCCGTAGTTCCCTGCATCCCCGAGCTTGGTGTACAGGTCCGTGACCACGCCGGACTCGGCATGCTTGTACCGGTATATCTCCCACGGGCGACCGACGGAATACTGCAGGTCGGCCGTGTGTGAAACGGGTTTCATCCACCTGCGTGTTGTGACCGGCGGCAGGAGCGTGGAGTTCAAGATCGCTGTCCCGAACTTTGCGAGGTCATTGGTGGTCGAGTAGATCCCTCCCGACGACTTGGAAATGCCACCGTCATAGCCAAAGCCGGAGGCGAAATCGCCTGCGATCACAGACCGGGAAAGCTCAGACGCTCCCGGGACAGCAGAGTAGGATGAATGCATATCCAGCGGATCGAAGATACTCTGCTTGTATATCTCATCGAGAGACTTGCCGGTCAAATTGGCGAGAGCCAGACCGAGAAGGATGAACCCGTTGTTCGAGTACGCGGGGCTCGTCCAAGGGAGATAAACAGGTGCGTCGTTGGCTGCTCCACCAGCGTATAGAGGCCCAGTACACGGCTCGCTTACGTTCGCCAGACAGGGTGACAGTGATAGAGCATCGTTCAGATCCACAGGGGGAAGACCATAGGTTGCTGGATCGATGGCTGCAGGCACGGGGTTCAAGCCAGCCAGGATCGCAATTGCGTACTGCAGAAGTAGATCCCCGCCGTCCCATGGCAGGACATCGCGTGCAACGCCGCTGATTTGCGCAGCAAGGGCGCTGGGGGTGATTTGGTCCCAGGGGGTAGAGTAGACTGAGTCCGCGGTGGCTCTGGACTTGACGTATTCGGCGAAGGCTGGAATAATCTCCGTCAGAGGCCGTTCCCATTGCTCACTGTTGAGCTCACGCATCGCAGCAAACACTGTGAAAAGCTTCGAGAGACTAGCTACGCGGTAGATACTGTCGCCGTCGACCTTTCTGGTGCCGTTTGGGGCATTCTGGATCTCGGAGGAGGTGTAGTGGAACTGCAAAGACTCCGCTGCTGGATCATGGATGGAAAAGAGACCGACGGAAAAGGTGAGGTTCTTCAGCAAAGAGGGATCTGAGGAGGTCTCGCTGTGTAGCCTCCCTGTCAAAGATTTCCATCCAGCTGCGACTCGGCTTGACTTGCTGCTGAGGTCTCTAGGGGCGAGATACGCCGGACCAAGGAGGTTGGCCACGCTGGTGCTGCATACTACCAGAAAGGAAAGAGAGAGCAAATGTACTCGCATTTTGCTATTGTAGTGGCTGTGTTGGTGTCTGTCAAGCAGAATGAATTACTTGCGGCTACGGCCATATTTATATCTCGAATACATCCTGACATACTGACAAACTCTTCGACATCATCTAAAAACAAACCTTGCTCATCATCATCAACGTCTGACCTGCGGCTGAGTCCAGACCCTCAGCCGGTCTTGGCCATGTTATATACCCAATTCGGTAAGTATCCGCAATAATGCCCCCAGCTTTTTCCAGTTGGCAGACTACGCCACGTTCAATCAGCGAATCACCAGCATCTTCAATATTGGCATGTAGTAAGCTTGAATATTAGAATATACATTAAAACATCAATGCATCTCCTGGCTGATTACTGCCTTTTTAGATGTCCTGGTTCAGAGGCATATCCCCCGCTGCCCACCGCCAGCAGTCATATTGCTCCTATGGAAATCAAATAGTACGATTATAAACAGGTGTCCGGACAATATACTCTTAGTACAGAAATGCCATATCATATTTCATGGTGGTATAATATTTCAGAAACCCTCTGCTCGCAGAGTATGAAATCCCACTGTAAGACAAGTGGACAAATGTAGCCAAGCCAGTAGATCCCGTACGCTCGAAAAGACCGTGACCATACAGGTCAGTCGGGGGCAGGACTCAGGTGTATGGCATGAAAATTCGAGGGGTGAGACTTACAAGTCAAGAGAAGATATAGAGAGGAGGATGAGAGATTTCTTCTCTACTGCGTTGTACATAGAAATTCAATTTGAAGGGATTCACTTGATACTCAGGATAGAATGACGACCAGCATAACCCAACGCCAGGACTGCACTAATAATGGTATCCACTTCTTACACAGAATAGCCTACATGAGTCCACCGTATGTGTCTCCCTCCTGCAGTAGCTTCCGCTCTTCGTCCACGTAGTCCCCGACACTTTTCCTTTCGCCTTCCTTCACCGGTGGATTGGGTTGGGCACCCTGCTGAGGCTGAACCTCAGGCTGCTGCTCTTGTTGTTCATTTTGATCGTTCTGCTCCTGTTCGTTGCCATGATGTCCGTGATGGAGCATCCGATCCATGAATCCAGTATGGTGGGAGGTATGTGTGTCTTTCACATCAGCGGGGCTTACTATGAGCCTTGCAGAGATGGCTTACTTTCGGACATGGTTTCTAAATGGAGAATAATCTCCTAGATGATGGTTTTTACGGGAGAATATTGATTATGGGTCTTTTGAAGGTCGTTGACGGAGGGAGGCGTTAATAAGAGTGTAGACGTCATTGACACAATAGATAATAAATTGAGTTTCGACCACGCGCAAAAGACTCCTACACAACTATCGATAAATAACACCTTCGCTTCCATTCCACTGAGGAATTGATCCCAAGGGCCATGTCTTAAAGTTCAGATCAATCCATTTATGTCACACTCCGCGCAACAACAATCCCCAACAAAGCCAGGAAGATAATGGCCACAATAAACACCAGCGCAACTATCCGACAGCATTCCCGCTCTGTCTCCCTTCTCTGCCGGCGCTCAAGCTGGCGGTCGCATGTCTCGCAGTGGAAATGTGGTTTTGTAGGGTCTAACTGCGGAGGCTCATTTGAGGAGTCTTGAGGGTGGGACTCCACATCGTGGTGGCTTGCGACGTTTAGATTTTCGTCCAGGTCGTTGTCGGGGACAGCAGCGTATTGATGCTGAGATAGTCAGTTCGAGGCTCTAACTATATCAAGCGTAGAGAAAACATACTGTCCTGGAAGATGTGGCTGTCGGTTGATTAATAGGTTCTGTGTCGAATAATTCATGGTAGGCAGGTGCTGCCTCTTCGGAAGCTTTTGGGAGATTCATATTGATCAGTTGTCTGGAGAGAGATAAGTCTCACTAGCAGAGTATGATGTTGTTTATCTGAGGCCGGTTAATGATTGATATTTGGTGTTGATGGTAATGTCGTAGCCTGATGCCCCAGGCTTATGCACAGCCGCCATGAGGCTGAGCATCGACGCTATGTCCACAGTCCACCTACTGGATGAGCAGGCATTCCCCAAATGCTTACATACGAGAGGTAATTGGATGGAAAGCCAGGAAATCCTTTTGTCGTAAGCACTAACGCCTGCATCAGCCGCAGATGAGCCACCGGTCAGACACTGACCAATCCAGTCTGTGGGTCACCATGTGGTATTCGCACGAAGTACGAGTGACGAGCAACAGCATATTCATTACCTACCATCCAAAGAATCATGATTCACCAAGTCCACCCTCTGGTATCCTTGACCCAGTCTGTCTTCGGAGATGGCTCGGCCAACCCAAACAGAACGTAGTACTTGTCATGCCACTCTTCCTTTGTGTCAGTACGGCCTGCGCGTGGAAAACCTGAGAAATGCCTAATTGTTGTCAGCTTATAGTCGCTACTCAACAACAGATAGAGCGTACATATTCCCGGTGGCCTTGTCACAGATGATCTTCGACATGGTGGGCATACGGGGCAGGTAACCGCACTTCCTCAGCTGTCTGAGTTTATGTCAATTGAGAGCACGACAGGCAGGGAGTTCTGTAAGCTTACGGATAGGCTTCACGGAATTGATCGCGGATCGCCTGGCGTGACTCAAGATCTAGCTCCCAGAATTCTTCTTCACTCAGAGGCTCCCCAGGGACTTTATCCCAGACCACATAAGTGATATAACCTCCCGGAACAATACTATCTTCGTCTTGCTTTCCCTCCTGTAAGCAAGAAGGTCAGGGACAATCTTTGAGCGCTTCAAGATCGTCAACTCAAGGCGCGGCTGTCGCTTAGCAGCCTGCTTCCGTCGAAGCTGAGCGCTCTGATATTGAGTACCAGCGACAGGGATCTGAAGTTAAATCCGCATAAAAGCCTGCTTACTGGGATCTTCTTTGCAATGGCAGAGAAACTTAGCAGCTGCGAACGGAAGTCCAAGGCCATCAGTAACATCCTGCTGCGTCATCCAGTGAGACCGTTCAGAGAGCTTCTTGTCGATCACCCAGGTTTGGCGGGACAGGTGGAAAAGTGGCTCGGATGGTGGCTTCAGAGTGACGTCCGTGCCTTCAAGGCCGTACAGGAACTCGCCAGCTTCGGCATTGTTCATGCTGGCTTGATGAGTTTGGAGGGATGAAGAAGATGTATAGGCCTTTGGATGGGAATGAAGAAGACGAAAGGTGGTGATGGAAAAAGTGTCATAGATAGGTAACGATATCCGCTAAGCCAAATTGGGAAAGCCTTATGCCCTGTCTCCCTGGTCATTCTATACCCATTTATTAATATTACTCTGCAAAATGCTTTAGTGATTTCTGCAGGTTCAAGTTACGCGGAGGGCTGCCAGTGGACGAGCTGGACCGTCACAACATGAATTGGACTGGACATAGATATGAGTATACACTTTCAGCAGATGATATGCGAATGAAACCCCCTCGCACCAGTCAAGAATCCACCAGATGTACCGTCCGATCAAATTCTCCGGCAGGTCTCTCGAGCGCCCACTGCCGAATAGCCTCAAAGTCCCGACAAGTGTGCATATTATCCGCCCTCACAGTGACCATCTGCTTTTCTTCATTCCACGCCCACACGTCGACAGTGATATCGGCTGAACACATCAGGCTCTGACGAATCATCTCGATACAGTGGTCAAGATGATGCATGGCCTCCTCGTCATTGGGGTTATGCATATCAACACCCCAGAGTACTTTGCGGAGCATATCCTGCGCACGTCAGATTGATTCTGATTCACCAGCATACGAAGGAGAGCTACCAAACAGTGCAACTGATGAAACACATCGAGCCCAATTAGATAGTATCCCGAACTGTACCCCAAATCATCGGGGATCGGGACAGTCTTATTAACCAGTTTCGCTGCATCGCTCGCAGGAATTTTGACCATCGCCGGCGCTGAAGACTCAGCCTAATCCTAACAGTGAATCGGGAGAAAATGACATACCAACATGAATATCATCCCACGCTTTATTGTTCTCTTCCGATGGTGGACCCATGTAAATAGACTTTTGATCGCCCCAGCCAGAGTTGAAGACGACGTTCTTGTATCTGACGACGTCTTGAGCAGGAGCTAGGGCTCATTAGCTGTGAACCTGTAGAGTAATAAGCTGCTTACAGTAAACCATATCAGGTATATCTAATCCTGGATTTGTCCAGACTGCAATACCAGCTCCTATAGCAAAGACAAAAAGCGAGACTATAAGGATATATTGAATGGCGATGATTTTCCGTAGCCGGTGATACTCTCGCGCACTGAATGGAACTGAGTCATGCAGGTATTCGGATTGCTTTTCATTTATGAGCGCCTCCCTACCACTACCATCGCTGTTGATGGAATCTCGATAGTTCTTCAGAAACATTTGGATAATTAGATTATCACGGTGAAGCAGCTTGGGATGAAACAACGGAATGATGGTGCGACTGCCGTGGCGTTCGGCACAATATATGCATACTCCAGTAGCCTAGCCACTACACAAGATGAGCAGCGTAAGGAAAATAGAAGTATCCTGGAGCTCGAACTAGCCATGAAAGGACATCAATAGGAATTTAACATGATTGGCCTCGTGGTGTGTCTTGGCAGAAGAGCTGTTGAGGGCATTTCTTTGTTCTCGGTGGCGGGGGTCGGTCATTCGATGGTATGGCGAGGGGCGGACATGGCTTTCTAGTAATGAGTGATGATATCCGAATTAGAGTGCTGACATTGAAGTATTAGACGCTGAGCAAATTATTACTAAGTAAATGAGGCGTATACAAGTCTGCGATAGGTATTGATCGCAATGTCAACAGGCAACACTTACTTCAAGGATCGATGCGGAGAGGTAACATGCAATTTCCTCATAAACAACAATCAACAATGGATGGCATTTCCTCCTCTGGTATTAGCAGAGACTTTTTGCGCTATCAAAACTGTTGTATCTGTTCCATAGTGTCAATTCACATCAACAAGCAAGAATTTTCAGGTGCATTCTCCACTGAATGTACCTTTGGCGTTCAAGAACGCAGAAGAGATACCAATCAGACACATCCATGCGTCAAATCTCTTCCCAGTCTCAATGTAAAAGACACTTTTGGCTCCGTGCCAAGCGCTTGCCGCTTCTCCTTCCAACACAAAATGTCCCATCCGGAGCGGAGGAGAAGATCCTTTGTCTTATCCCATTCGTCGGCCATTGATATCCCTTCCACTGCACAGTAAGCGTGTTCTTGCCGTACTTCTTCCGATAACCCTCGATAAGATCTGGAACCATACAAAACTCCTTTGGACTATACCTGGTGCCTGCCGGCTCATTCTCCCATTCGTGGAGGGTGATTTCCCTGGGGCAAAAAGCATTGAACAGGGGCAGTGGATCATACTCTCGCAAATCGAGCTCTGGATACAACAGGCGAGGTACCAATTCGTCCTGCAACTTAGGCAACAACATCGTTACAGTGGGAGGGCTGCCGGACCAGCTCAGCTTTCGGAAAACTCGCTCAATACTTGGACTGATGACTTTAAACCATTCGGGCGTAGTATCTTCCAGCAGTATAAAACAGAATGCGGGGACCGTTCCTACGGTCCTGCCATTCAAGCAGTAGGGTACCATTGGGGTAAATCTTTGCTGTCCTTCGTGGAATCTCACGACAATAGAGTCGTACATGATCTCGAGATGTCGGAGATGACAATATATTGCGTCTTCCAATCGCCTCTAGCCATCTGTATAACATATCCCTGTCCGCCTCGCCTTTCCTGACGCTGAACCGAAATGTTTTCTCCTCGAAGAATACTCTGGCTGCTTCTCGATGGACGATGCTATTGCAAAGAAGCAAGGGCAGTACTGACCGAGGCACATTTACTGCTACCAAGGTAGATATCTGCAATTCGCAGCGTCTTCTGACCTTGCGTTTCTGAAAGAGATCGAAAAACACCACCCCTTGTTCTCCCCAGTCCAACTCATTCAAATATTCGGGGTCAAGAACATATCTATCACTGACCTGGCTACAGTCGTATTCGGGAATAAGTAAGTACCTGTAGATTAGACGACGGCTTTCAGGAGGAAGAAAAAGGAAACTCTTCGGGTTATTGACTGATTCCATGTTGCTCGAATGAGTGAGGTTCCGTTTGAACAGTGTTGAAGCAGAACATGTTTCTGGAAATCTGTAGAGATATCACGACCTTTTGTCCTCAGGCAGCAATGACATCCAATTAAGTAATTCTGATCGCGACACTCTGTCCCGACAGAAGCAAAGTTTGAAATACCCGTACCAGACTTTATGCCCTACTACTGGGTTCTGACCTGACTCATATTTGATGAAAGAAAGCTGTGTGACCTGGTGTGTGGAACTTTGAGTGAGTGGACAGATATGCCATAATCTTGACGAAATCTCTCATGCAGAGCATCGTGGCCCCTCTACAATGATATTTGCACTACAACCTGCTCCTTCCTCCTCTAGCACAGCTTCATAGTCCCTGTGTTCGTCAATCATAACCTAGTCATTAAGACTGATTTATCAGGAGTAGATAGAAGCAATCTATACCAGAAAATTGGTCCTTCCTTAACGCGCGGATATATGCTGTTGAAAGAACTTTCTAGCTTATTGTCTCAACAGGAAATTCGAAGATAAAAGTTATGATTAGGAGAAGACTGCCATTGGTAAACACATTCCATGGAGATAGAATGGAGCACTTGAATACTACACGAGCCAGTGGAGGTAGCAGCAGGCGGACCTGGCTGACCTACTATAGTATTACGAATTTCTAAGGTTTAAAGCAGTATTCACAACTCATAGAGTCATAGATTCGCCTCTCCCCTTGATCTTATTGCGTCTCATCTACAGCCAGAGGAAAACTTTTCCAAACATCCCAGTACCTAAGGTTAGTATTGTTTCCATCTTGCGTGATGGGCCAAATCTGCAAAAACACCTTTGCAACCCACGGATACACATCCACTTTGTAGCAAGACTGGAAAATGGAATTCTGAGAGATTCGCGCTTCGAATTTGTCCCGGTGCTCGTAGCAGAGATCGCGCTCGATGGTCCACTCCGAGGCAAAGAACCGCACAGGGCGGGAGAACTCGCATCGCGGAGGGTAGTGCCGGTCAGCCTGCCCTTTTATTGACAAGTCAGCCGTTCAAGGAGTGGTGCGTCGTGGGACTCTGCAGCCGAAATCACCTCGAAGATCGAGGACGCAAGTGGTTCGTCAATGAGGGTATTGACCAGAAGGTTCCGGATATGTCCATTGCGGCTTCGATTGATGCCTTCGAGACCTTCCTCGGTGTATTGATTGTCAAAGTCGTCCCAGTCTGGATCGATGGAAGCGTTCTCCTGGTACAGGCTTGGATCAGATACGTTCAATTCCAGGTCGAGGAACTTCAGGTTTCTGATTGTGCCCAAGGCCTTGTAGAGAGCTACTTCCCGAGCGTCTCCTTGGGTGCGACAGATGGGATACTCATCTTCTCCAGCAGAGGACAATATCTGCCGAGCTGGAGGATATCGTGCTCGCTGAAACATTGCCAAGGTCGACTGATCACAAACAACTTGCGCAAACGTGGTCCGTGGTGTTTTGCCAATATCCCTATTAACAGCTGTGAGTGCCATGCAATCAAATAGATCTCTGATAGTGATAGTAGACTCCGAAGAAATCTTATCACTTTGGTGTGAAAGTCGGGTGTTTATTCTACTCCAGCGTTTTTAGGACCGAGGAACAAGCGCAGGGTTCAAAGGGCTGGGAAATGAAGATGATCTGTCCATGCTGCGAATGCTTCTCCCTAGATAGGTGATTTCTCCCTAGATAGGTGATCCTTGATTCCCAGATCAAGAATCTGCACTGTGGAGAAATTAATGTATGGGAAGCTCGTAAGCTCGTTCGTGTTGAGCCGAGAGGCCCGAGATAAATAATCAACCCCACCAAGAACGGGAATAATATTGACTCACCGACTTTGCAACTTCACCCCCCGATCGTCATCCGAGTATAACGGCCGCCAATTTCTCGTCGCCACATCAGCCATGGCATCAAATCCTCATATTCTGCTGTTTGGTGTCGGTAGCGTTGGCGCCATTCATTTGCTCCAACTGCAACGCGCCGGATGCACCGTGACAGCCGTCTGTCGGTCCAACTACGACGTCGTCAAGGAGAAAGGCTTTACTCTGAAAAGCGTCCGATTCGGGAATGTCACATATCGGCCAGATCACATCGTTCGCACTATTGCTGAATGCCCAAAAGACACAGTTTATGATTTTGTCCTGGTGACCACGAAGTGCTTCCCCGGCAGTAAGCCGTCAGTAGCAGATCTGATCAGACCGGCCATTATTGGCCGTCCAGAGACTGCCATCGTCCTAGCACAGAATGGCATAGAGATTGAGAAGGATATTGCAGACGAATTCCCAGAGAATCCCATCCTCAGCGGTGTCGTCTACCTCCCAACCACCCAGACTAGTCCCGGCGTCATCGACTACCCAGAAATGCTAAACTTGATCGAAGTGGGGACGTATCCCGCCAATGCACCAGCTACACACAAAGCAGCGGCCAGCAAGCTCGTTGACCTCATGAAGCAAGGCGGCGGCGAGGCCAAACTTTACGACGACATCCAAATCGCGCGGTGGACCAAGCTGCTCGTCAACGCGTCGTGGAATCCCATCTGCGCGCTGAGTATGTGCTCGGACGGAGACTTTCTCCTCAGCTCCGAGCCCTTCGCATTTGAGCTTGTCTGGGGGATCATGATGGAAATCGTGGCATTGGCAAAGAAGGTGGGGATCAGGGGGGTGGACGAAGAAGCAGCCAGGGTCCGGCTTCAAACGGCAACTCGTCGGGCGAAGGAAGGAACAGGCCGCGATCCGAGTATGCTGCAGGATGTCAAGCAGGGTCGGTTATTTGAAGTCGAAGCGATTGTTGGGAACACGGTGAGACTGGCCCGGAAACATGAAGTGAGCATGCCCCGGTTGGAAACAGTGTACGCATTGGCAAAGGGAAGATATGAAGCCCTAGCCCGGAATTAACCTAGCGAGGTTAGAGTCCAGTCAATGATACATTTGTTGAACAGATACAAGGTACTGCAGCAGATTGATCCCAATCAATGAGACGTTAGCTTTGTGTCTGTTTGTATAGATATTCACGCCTACATGCTGCAGACCCAGAAGAGAAGTGAATTAGAAAGAGTATGCACTATCCCAGTCACTCCATAATACCCGACCTCTCTCAGACTTGCACTATGCTTAGCATCCACGATCTGCTCGCAAGCTGTTAACCAGATACTACTATTACTACTATTACTACTATTACTACTATTACTACTATTACTACTATTACTACTATTA